CAGCAGATTCAGTAACACATCACCTCTGGTAGGACTATTGCCTGGCTCAAGAGGTTATAATGATGCCCATGTCACTCGAGGGGCCACAAACGTGGTTTAGAATACTGTCATTCCTTCATTGTGTGGAAATCTAGTCCATGTGTTTTATTCAACATATCTGTATAAAAGTGGTAATAATGAAATGTGTCAAACACATCAGCTTTTGTCATCAGAGGAAAAAAAAGCCAACAGTGTGTAGACATAAGAGAAGCATTTAACAGAGGCTGGTGCATAGTGAAAGCTATAATATTGGCCACTGTTGGCATTCTCTTCTACAGACAGATACCTCCTCTGCTGCTGACAGCTCCATTCTCCACAGCCGCAGAAGCAGATTGGAGAAGCTGCTGTAGATTCATGAGCCCACCTAAAGCTGTGCTGTGCTTTTCTGAAATGTGTTCACTGTTACAGGAGTTAAGTAAATCTGCTCTCAGACAGGCAAAGCTGATAGAGGCTCAGCAACATTTAGCTGCAGACATTGGGATGCTCAAAAGTAAGAGTACTTTGTAATTTTAGAATTGGCAGTGGTTTTAGGTCATATTGATTATATTGCACTGTCTTGAGATCATCTACTCTTAGTTCTAACTCCAGACTTTCACATGTCATAAAATACATCCAAATTCTAGTTTGGCTTTTCTAATATTTTCCTTACATAACCTTCCAATATCTTTATAGTCCTCACAAGTTACCTGACCCTCCTTCCTTCCGGAGATGATAGATTCTCTTTTTTTTCCCTAAATTCCAGCCTAAATTCTCTGTTTAATCAGGGTAGTGTTTTTCCCTGATGACTTGTCTTTCTACAGTTGGGGGCAGCCTGGTCCTGCATATTTAACAATTCCTTTCTAAAGCACATCTGGCCTTTCTAATCTCCTTTATATTTTAGAACTGACTACCAAGGGACTCTGTCAATCAGTGTCCTAAATGGGCCAAAGTCTGCTCGTGGGAAGGTGGAAGTTCTGCTGGTACCTCTCCTTATTTCACCCAATACTGAAATGCTAACATTTCCTGGCCACTATGCCCAAGATAACCATTGACTACCAAATCACCCACCAGTCCTTCTGTGTTCACAAACAACAGGTTTAGCAGGACACCTTCTCTGGTAAGCTCATTTACCAGTTGTGTTAGGAAGTTGTCTTACACACACTCCAGGAACTTCCTAGATTGTTTCCTCTTTGCTGTGTTGTGTTTCCAGAAGATATCTGGCAAGTTGAAGTCACCCATGAATACTGGGGTTGGCAACCATGTGACTTCAGCCAGCTGCTTGCAGAATGCCTCTGTCTGTTCGTCCTGGTTGGGTGGAATAAAACAGACTCCCACCACCATGATGTCCACCCTGCTGACCTTCCCCCTGATCTTTGCCCACAGGCACATGCAGTTCCACCCCACCACCTCTCCTGTTTTGCCTGTGTCTTCTGAAGGGCTTAGAGGTATCTACTGCAGCACTCCAGTCATGAAAGTCATCCCACCATGTTTCCAAGATAAAAAATACGTAACTTTCCTGTTGTACAGTTGCTTCCCGCTCTTTGTGCTTGCTGCCCATGCTGTGTGCATTGGTGTAGATGCACTTCAGCTGGGCTAATGGTTTCGCCCTCATCACAAGCCTGCTACCCCTAGGCTGATCTCTACTAGCCTGGTCTTATCCCTTTCCCCCTCTGAGCAGGGTTTAAGACCTCTTGATCAGCCCTGCTAATTCCTGGGCCATAGTTTCTGTGAATCTGTCTTGACTGAGTTAAGAAAAGTATCTATGGAGCAGGTGTGTCATAAAGATTTGTCCTGTATTTTAAGTGAAGTGGCTTTGTTGAAGATAATTATCACATCATAGTGTAATGCTAAATGAGATATCTCGGGTCAGTTGAGAATTTAACAATACTGACATTTCAGGATTCAGCAGTGTATGTAATATTTCCAGTATTGAGAAGATACTATCAGACTTATGTTGTACTACCTCTAGTCTACACAAAAATAAATGTCTTACCCCAAGCAAACAGTAACTACCTCTATTCTCTCATTTTTCAAAGACTAAGAAGGGATGGTAGTTTTCTCAATCATTGCAAAAATTATTTTTGAAAGAAACCATCTCAAAACTCAGGAGAGGAAGACCGAAAAGAACTGATGTTTCTGAAATATGAAAATTTTCCTAACAGGAAAATAAACAGATGGCATTTGAACAACTATTTTGGCATAGAGCTCAATGTAGTATATGAAAAGCTGACATGATCTTATTACAGATTTCCTTTGTTTCTTTGACTACAGTTAGAAGAGAATACTTCAAAAGATGCATTCTACAATCATTTTAATTGTGAGCAAGCAGAGTTATCTGAAAATAGCTTTATACATACAGCTTATATACAATGTGTACAGAAGCACAGTAACAGACACTTCCAAAATGTGCACATTGGGTTAGCAACATAGCTAGTAAAACTCCAGATTGACTAATTCCCCCATGTCATGCTACAAGAATTGAAAGGAACTATATACAATTTAGTTTACTTACTTGAAACAGATTTTGAATATTAGGTCTGGGAAATAATGAAGCAAAACTGTGCTGACTTCCTGACAAAGAGTTATAGTCTACCTCAGAACGCCTTCCCCTCACGACAAAAAGGAGCAGACTGTAGTTTTCCATTCTGCCTGAAAGCTGGCTCATGCTGTCCATATCACACACAGCAATTGAAGACATTGAGTGAAGAGCATGGATCAAACAGAAGCATCAAATCTACTACAAATTAGATTGTTATTTTTCCAGCAGGGCACCTGTATCATCTGGTAATGTCTACATTGGAAAAATTCATTTAGGAAATAAAAACCGCAATGGATTTAGAAGTTCTATGAAAGGCTACGCAGTGACAAAAGATTGTCAGACAAAATGAGGAACAGGGAAACACGAAAACCCCAGCAGAAATAAACAGAAAACTTGATCACAGTCAATGATAAGCATCAAGAATTCATGAAGGAAGACTTTAAGCTTTAGTGCTTTGCAGGTATAAAATATTTGTGAGTGAAAAGGACTCAAGACTCATCAGAAGAGCAGAATCCAAAACTTTTTCTGGCATCCAAGTAGAATTAGTGATATAAAATTAAAAAGTAGTTCTGAGAACATGCGGGCTCACACAAAACTTAAGGCATGAAGAAAGAGAAGAGGCAAAATGGACAAAAAGGAGGATGAAGCAGTGTTAGGCAGTTATGAATGTGTCCTGGTTCCAGCCAGAAAAGGGTTCATTTCTGCAGTAGGCAGGAGGGACATGACCAGGACCCCGAGGTTACTCTATACCACCTCATGCCAAAGCAGGGGGCTGGGGAGGGATGGGTTCCATCCAGTCAGGCCAATGGTGAAGTGCGTGGTGCAGGTATGCCAGGTTCCCCAGGGTGAGTGCTTGCATGTGAATCCTTCACTTCTTGTAATTAATTTTAATAATGTTGTGTTATTAATATTGTTATTGATACTGCTTGTCGCTTATTTCATTGCTGTTTCTAGTAAATTGTTATCATCTTAACCCTTGATAGGTACCTTTTGTGCTTCCAATTTCTCCTCTCTATCCCACTGCAGGGGGAAGGAGAGAGGGAAGTGTGGAGTGAGACAGTGGCATATAGTTTGGAGTGTTTCAGTGAGAACACTAAATTTGGGAATTCCATTCCTAAACTATGACAAAATGACAATTTTCTAAACCATTCCACATGGATTTGCAAATTCATGTTTATCAGCTCCTTTGTAGTTCCTTCTAAGGAACCACTGAAGCCACAGGGCAACTGCAACCAGCTAGTGTAGGCCAGTATGGAGCCAGTCTAAACTGAACTGTGTAAGTTTTCTCATTTGAATGCTGCACACAACTTTAACTACATTGCATCCTCCAATCTCAGCTGGACCATGCTGGTTGACATTAAGAACTTCAATCTCTTACATTCCCTCTTGAGTGGTTACAAATGGGTTGTTTTTTTTTCCCAGATAATTAGCTAGAACACTTACAGTTTACATCAATATCACTTCTCACTGTTTTAAAAATTGGGGTGGGGATATAACTTTTCTTGAAGAAAAAGAAATTGAGAAAGAAATTTTGAACTTCAGGTGGTTCACAGAGTTACAAACACAACTAAATAAGTGTATTATTATAGACAAAGGGAACAATGAATTGATACACTGCATTAGCACTTCAGGTTTTGAAATTATAAGACTAGCAACTAATTCCAAAATCCAGTCTACATTTCTAGTGTACTCTCTAGTATTCACCTTAGAGAAGTACTGAAGAAGTACAGGATACAGTGCTGTGACAAAGACAGATCTGTGCTGGAGCAGTTCCACCTAATTGTGAAGAAAAACATACTTTAAATTACATTTGGCTCATGAACTAGCCATAAAAAACTACTCCCACGAGGTGCCTTTGCCTGCTGTTACTGCCCCTTCCAAGAAAGACACTGCAAGCACCTTCTCTCTGGAGCTCAGACACAAAAGCTAACCTCTTATCCGGCTTGGGAACGATATTTGTTGGATTCTATGCCACTGTATAAGAGGGGATTCAGCTCTGACATCCCCCTTCAAACTTTAATATGAACAGCCTTGTGTAAGTAGCAGCAATAAGGTTTGGTCATTGTGTTATTTGACTGCGTGTGCTGACATGACAGCTGATTAAAGAAAAAATAAATTAAAAATAAAAGTTTAATTGAATCCAAAACGCCTAACAGTCTTAATCATCAAAGCAAGCACACCACTGAACTAAAATCATGCAAAATCTATTAAAGCAAAACATAAGCTTGAATCAACATTCAGTTAAAAACACTGATTTTCAGATCAGAAAATCTATACTTTTTAAAGCAGTGTTATACCAGATACACTGCTTTCCTTGATGTTAAACATACAGCATCTCCTTTAAAGTACAATATGATGGCAGTCAGTTTTGTTTTCTCAGTAAAACATACTCTTCACTTACTAAGAGTCAGACTGCACAAAATAACCTCAGATTGGCCAGAATTTAGCAGATCCTCTCTTCTGAGGACTATGAACAAGAGCCAAAAGTGAGTTACAAGCTGAAAAGTTCAGATTTGTTTCACAGTCAAAAATCACACTCCTTAGATCATAATGACATTTCTTGTTTCAAGTTGTGCCCATTTAGTTGTGTCATGGTAGTTACTGTGTTCCTGGTATTGCTTTTCAGGGAAGTCATTTGAATGGCAGAAGAATTGCACAAGTAGCTGGCAGATCTCTCTTTCTGAGCTTTCTTCCTGCAGTGAAGCTGGTTGTTGAAATGTCTTCTAAAACTCTCACTGAGAAAATACAGTGCAAATGGGTTGACACAAGAGTTGCAGAAGCTTAGCACTCGGGCCACTAGGGTAACAACCATATGTCCCATCGATGGATCAATCTTATTGTAATGAAAAGATCTATACATGTATAGCACGTGGTTGGGAAACCAGCAGATAGCAAAGAAGCCAACAAAAACTAAAACAATTTTTGCCAGACGCTTCCGAGTTTCCATCTAAAAAGACAAAGAGGACTCAAATGAACAACAACAAATAGAACTACCCCACACAGCAGACTTAGACTACCCCACACAGCAGACTTAGTTAAAATATGTAGCATTTTGCTCTATGTTAACTTCAACAATTGTCATGAGTAAGGCCAGCAAAAATACTTCCTTCAGAGGCCTGAATTACTTTTGCTATCTCATTTACTTTCCTTTTCCTCTTTCAGTTTACTTTCAGTTTACTTTCAGTTTACTTTCAGTGAACTTTTTAGCTGTTTGTGGTTACAGAAGGTTGCTCTTTCGATATGATACACACGGCAAGAGTGATTCATGACCCAAGGAAACACTGTCTTTTAGCTGTAAGCATGCACCAAAGGATGTGATAAAACGTAACCTTTTCTGACAAGATCTCAGTGCTTGGCTTGAAACTTAAGTTTTATTTAGAAAGCTATTTGAAAATATAGTTTGAAAATCTACAGATGTCATGAGGTAGACATTACTAGGGTGTTAGCTATACAGTGGTATAGCTTTATTTTGCACTGAGGGTCTCAGCTTGCACCTCTCTCATAGGGAAACCACCTAAATTGCATTCCAACATCTGAAGCATCTTAAATCCAGGGTAAGGTGAAAGGTTCCATTATTTGCAATAACATAACAAAATGTACCTTAGTTGCAGTGCTAAGGTATAACAGATTACATTGTAGATATTGAGAGTAGTTGAAAAGATGGCAGGAGATGAGCCTACACAGTGGTTCCTGAGAAAGGGAGATTAAAAAACTGAGAAAGGGAGATAAACTGGCCAAGTAGAAGGCACTAATGAGAGGATGAAAGTTTCCCCATATTCCTCCTAAAGGATTTATTATGCATATCAGGTATGAAACTTCTGCAGAGGAAGGAAAGTTTTCCATTCTGCTCAGTTTTCTGGGGAAAAAAAAATAATCCAGTGATTTTATTCTAGCAGTTTTTCAAAATCTGTTAAATTAGTATTTTTAAATAGTTTTCTTGGGTCTATCTAAACAAGAAACAGTGGGGAAAACAAAAAAGATGGGAAAACTCTAACATTCAAATTTGGTAGCATGTGCACTCAGATTGCAAGACAACACCAAGAAGTGCAGAAGTATAGTGTGAATAATACACTTGGCCTAAAGAAACATGCTGATAGCAATAGGCTGAATTTATTTCCTCTTGCTGGGACATATGTAAGTACACTAGAATTTTTTGTTCTTCTGAGCCTCACAGATGAACAAAGAGGAAAAAAAACTAAGTAGAAAGAAAAAATGTGTTCTTACTTTGAAAATACATGTGAGTTAAGAAATGTGGTATAAATTAAATATTGTTTCTATCCAGAGGGTTCAACCAAAAGGCTCTCTATATTTCACAGGAAAATAAAATAATACATGAAGTGCTAATATGTATGCACTTTTGACAAGAAATAGACTAGAGTAGAAATGAAATGTTGCTCAAAAAAGACGTAAAGGAATGTGGTCTGTCTAAAAGAATGTGTGCATGCAAAGAGACTTCTGCATGAAAGCAGTTTTCTAAATTACTGGCAGAGAAAACAATTCAAAACTGTTTAAATGGGCATTGGTATTTTTCTCTACCAATACTAATGCTTTTGCAAAGTAGTTGAAGCATTTTCACTGCAAAAGCTATTGTTTGTACATATATGTGTTCCTTCTAATGTGACTATCTTATTGCTTCCTGTGCCTTACGGGGAATACTGGCTTTGTCCAGCATTTTAAAATGCTTTGTGTCAAAGATATACAGAATCTATACCAAGAGTTTTATAGCATCTCTAACAGAAAGGATATTAGAAAAGTGCAAGTTCAGTATTGTATCCGAGAAAGTAAAAAAAAAGTTAATGCTCTATGTTCACGTTTCCAGCACTCCATCTGAGAAGAATCTTAGATCCCCTAAGTAAAGTTTTTCCCTGCCTATGTCAGTTTCCTCATTTCCAAGCACAAATAAAAAGGGACAATTCTCAAAACATTCATGTAAGATTTCTTTCCTAAAATTATTGCCTAGAGAGACAGGTGAAGCCACCATCATTAACTACAAAAGCATCATTCCTCAATAAGAGTACAAATAATGGTTTCACTAATAGCACATACAAACATATATACTAATCTCATTTGCTGTTAGGAATATGCATTCTTGGCAGTGAATTTTTTAATTTTCCTTGTTCATATTTATTTACATATTAGGCTTAATACTGAGTAATTGTGAAAACAAGGAAAATTTTGAGATAATCCTTGGTTTATTTCATGTGGAAACTGAACTAATCCTCTGCAAAATCCAACAAGTTGGATGTTATAATTCTTAGACTTTCACTTATAAGTGTATACAGCATGCAAACATTTTACCAGGATGTAAAAAGCAAATTGCTTACCTGTCTTTTGGAATGCTCACTGTGCTCCCCAGGGATGTTATGAGCACTTTTAATTAAACTTTTTGCAATATGATAGTAGTAGATACTGATAATTACAAGAGGGACAAGGAAATACACAAGGAAAAGCAGCACAGAATGGATCTTTGGGTGCATGTCATCTGTCATGGGGTATGGTATGCACGCTGTGAAAGTGGCATTATCTGTGTCATTGATGTGAGCCAGTTCGGAGAACACTGCTTCAGGAACTGCTAGGAGCATGGAGATTACCCAGATGGCAGTGGCTTTAAGACAAGTCCATAGCACTGCACTGGAGGTCTGGATGTCCATGGGATTTACAATTGCTTTGTACCTGAAATTGATCAAAATGCAGATGCAAATTAAAAGGTATTCAAATTCAACATGCAATGAACAAGCTTATTTCATATCTTTGATTATAATCAAGTAAAATAATGTCATGTTTTTTCTTATTTGAGATTTCAAGGGGCTTGTCATCTTTCTTTAACTTGCATTCTCTAAATCTCTACCTTTTTTTGTATACACTTACCAGAGGAGGTGGAAGGAGCCCTGGATACAACCTGTGGCTGTAGGTGCCCATTCTGTGCCAGTGTGGTGGAAGTGAAGAATCAGCCGTGGCTCTGCCCTTTGCTTCTCCAAATAGCCCCAGCAAATCTCCAAATGTGCATCCTACCTCCATACTCCATGTGTACCAGCACATGGACACTTAGTGTTTCCTTCCTTCTTTCCTTGGCTTCTGAAGCCCAGGGCTCTCTCTTGCTGCCACCACAGCTTTCCAACCCTAGGACACTCCCAGCCCCCCTCAGAGGAATATATGCATCTTCATAAAGTCAGGCACATATGACTCCCAACGGCCTGTGCAGAAAGTATTAAACTCTTTCATAAAGTAAACACTTCCACATCAATAGTTGGAAGCTGCTGCTCTACACTGCATTTTGGAAAACTGTCTCATAATGTAAAATTGCATATAAACCTTTATGGAACTGATAATTTCATAGCCCCTGCAATGGAAACTGGAAGAACTGCAAACAATGAAAATATCCCTCTAGAGAAAGAAGTTGACATTGGTTCAGGAATTCTTTTATTTAAAAAAATAATTGCAGGAGGTGATACAAACTCAGACATTCCACAAGAAAATGTATACATTATAAGGATAAATATAATTTGAGAAAAATATTTCAAGGATACCTTAAACTTCCACTTAGATTTTTAATTTTTTTTTAATGTAAGTTATGATTTAATGTTTTTATTAAAAACTAAACCTTAAACAAAGGTTAGACAAAACATTTCATTTTGTCTAAGCTGGGGCAATATGGAAAGTCAGGGGTTTTTTTTAACTACATTAATCTTTTTGTTTCCGTTTTCAATTTGATTTGGGATGTCTGTGATTTTTTTTGAATGAGCAGAAATTTTGAGAAATGGAAAAAATAATTCTCCTTTAATATTCAAAGAAAAGTTTAACGGATGAAAGGGAGTCAGGAGAGATTCAAACTCCAGGTAGATAACTTTGTTCCTCCTCTGGTGTTTGTAGTCACTGGAGAATTGCTTTCAAAGAGTGATTCAGATTTTAGGTATGTTAAATCACCCTCTACAGTGCTTGTGTTTTTTCTCTGTTAGCTACACAATGATCTTAGATTAAGGAGAACTGTAAGTTAGATGCCTCTGCTTTGTGATAAAATTCCATATCCATGCATGTAGATAGATATACATGTATAGATGTATAAATATGTATGGGTATGAGCAAGTGTCTAAATACTTACCAAGGATTAGTTTATACCAAAATATAACATGGTTGCTGAAGGGAATGCTGAAAAATGGAGCTGTAATCCCAAATACCCCTTAGGGCTAATTTGCAGATCCTCACAGGTAGTTCATAGCCCCTCAACACCTTAAGCCAATGTTTGCAACTGGCTATGCCATGAAAATGTCTGGAGCAGAGCACTGTCATGGTACCCAAGGAAATCTTTCCTTCAGAAAATAGGTGAGTCAAAATGTGCCCTGAGGTCTTCTTTCTCAGGTTGTTATAAACTGTTTGATCATTAAATAATTAAAAATAATGCCTATTAATGTTCATATCCTTTCTAAATTCAGAGAAAAAGAAATACTGTATTTTCACCCCTATCATGGAGTAGAAAACAAAACTTAGAAAACTGTTTCTGTTAATTTATATTTACCATTTCTGCTAACATGCAGTGAGAAACTCCCTGGACACCAAGGTGTAAAGAAAACCTTTATACTGCCATAGGAAGGACAGAAGTTTTTGCACAAAGCATGAATATTCCTCAGCACAAACTGTGACCTTATTATTCAATAATTGCTTCCTATTGCTGTCTGCCTTTATTTCATTACATAAAGACAGACCCTCTATTTTTGAGTTGATGGCAAGTCTTTATATCTGCTCATTTTTAAAAAAGTTTGCATTCTTAGGGAAGAGCTAGTTTGAGGATTTTGTGGTAGGGGGAGGACACTGGATAAAAATAATGTTCTGTAGTACAGATTTTTTCCTCTCATTCTCCATTTCATTGCTTCAAAATATTTTGACCACAGTCCGGTGTTCCAAGTAAATGACCACGTCACAAATAATTATTTTAGCTACAAATTGGCCTAGTTAATCTCTAAATGGAAGACTTTCTCAGAAGTCTTTACTTTAGCAGAAGATATGACATATATTTTTACTTTGGCATATATTGCTGTTTCAGCAAATAGTATGCTTTTCCCTGAGCTACAACTTACTCTAAGTGGAAAGGCATTGGAATAGAGTGCCCTTCTTCACAAAACAGCTGAGTTTAGCGCAAAAAAAAACCCAAGAACCTTTCTTTTATTCTACTTGCTACTTGATTTACTGCAAGGTGGCACTCTTCCTAGGACTCAGCCCTTAGCCCTTCACAGTACCCAGTGTCAACAGAAAGAAAAATACCCTGTGTTTTACAAAACCTGTCATCTTGTATATATCTTTAAAAAGCTACAGAGTGAACTGAAACTGGTTACAGATAAAATTAAATGCAAACGAAGTGTTCCCAAGGTGAAAACCCAACCTCTTCCTTTGTATAAAACCAGTGGAAGGTTAAAACATACCACCAACCATTTAAATTACAAAGACCATATTTTCCATCAATAAAAACAATGTCAGTAAATTAGACTAACGGTGCAAATTAGTCAAATTAGTAAGTTAATTCATCTTTTCTCTTACTTCACTGATGAAAAAATAGCAAATTATAGGTTGCCACGAAGTTCAGGAAATAATTATAAATATGCATTTGGTTTTAATTAAAAGCCTTCATGTAAATTCTGTCTTCTTATATCTATCCTCTATCATTATCACTGCTGACAAAGGGACCCCAATTTGGGAAACCCTTCTTGCCTTTGGAGCTGTGGTTTCTGCCAACAGACACAAGCACAAGTTTGCCCACTCTCCTTCAGCAGATTGGTTTTTCTGTATATTGTTTTTTTTCCATTTTAAAGCAATTTCCTCCCTTCTACACAATCCAAAGAAAAAATTAATGAAAATAATACCCTCTTTCTCCAGAGGTATAACATTTTGTTACCTTCTAAACTCCAATCTATTTTATCTACTTGTCTTGACCCATGTTTTCAAAGATTTTCTAAAGGTATTTCTCAGCTCCAAATTAGAACAGAAAGCTCTACTCCTGATTCTGCTGCACCCACAATGCTGTTTCCCTCCCACACACTTGATTTCAAAAGAAGGTGCTCCTTTACTAGGCCTACACTGTCCTTCCTTTGCTTTCCTACCTCTTTTTCTAGAGCACTTTGTTGTGATGACCTTGAAAAAAAAAACTAAAAAGAAACTCCCAAAACAACTAGTCAATACTTAGGCAGCCACTGGAAAATAGCCTACCATTCTAACTAGATTAGCCTCAATATCTCCTTGCCCTTTTGATTCTGTGTGGTCTCCTGTCCTTTTTTAAAAAGGTCCTTCAGGTCAAGGACTTTCTTCTTGTTGCTGTTTATATAATACCTACCACAAATAGGAGCCTAATTTATCACCTAATTTCCTACATGACATCACAATGAAAATAAATATAATAATGAAGTATCAGAAGCCAAGCAGAGACACAAATCAGGCAGGGAAGTTTCACATTACTTTGCTTTAATTTTCATTTTAATCCTGGAGCTGGAGGGATTGGTATTATTTGCCTCATTATAAATAAGCTTTTTATAGTGATGTTGCTGTGCCATTGTACTGCATTTCCTGCAAACTATAGTCATTTATTAAAACCATTCATATTTTAGTCTTGTATTGCATCTCTGCATGGTGCTTTGAAACACAAACATTTTAACAACATAAAAGCTTATAAATATATCTGAAAATGAAACCTGGTTGTATAATCATTATTTGTTAAAAATACTCATATCATGTCCAGTTGCAGTCCACTCAACTACAGTAAAATTAAATTTTCGATGAGACCAAAGCCCTTTTCCTTGTATGGGCAGTTCAATTGGCCCAACTCCAGCTGAATCATCAAGAGGAGAACAATTTATCTAGCTGAAAACATTGTGGGATCATTTTATCATTTGATTTGAGATTTGCATTGTTCTATTTTATTCTTATAAATTCCTGCAATGTAAAGTATTTTTTTTTTCAGGTAATATAAATATTTTCTGTGCTTATCCCTTGAGAGCAGAGAATTGCATTCACTCAGAAATGAGCATCTCTGAGGTCTGATTGTGAATATAATAAACAGTATTTGAAATGCAGACTAGAAGACCATTTGTAAACACACTTAATGTCAATGACATATGTTCTGTGTTTCTCAGGGGGAAAATCTTAAGACTTTCCTAGGTGGAAAAAGTTTTCCACTCTGTAAAAATACACTCTGTTGTGCCAAAAACTATCAATAACGCTTCAACACTTGTTGATGATTTCTCGACCCTGAAAAGAATCAAACCAGAAGTTTCCCAGGATTGTGGAGGGGTTTTCTTCTTCATGAAATGTATTACCTGTCGTGTCCACTCAGTGTTTCAGAGGAGAAATTTTCCCTTTCATTTTTTCTTCTCTTTCTACTTCTGCTACTTGCTATTTGTCTCACACTAGCTAACTATGTTATATCTTTAAAGAATCTATTTTTCTATATGCTTCTTACAAGCTCATGCAAATCTTGCAATGCCAGCTCATTTCCTACAATCTGGACTTTTAGTTCTACTTCTTTAAAGCCGTTCATTTATATCTGCACTAGTTAAAAGTGCCACATGTAATTTGTTCAATTCTGCTCCTGAAAGCAATATTAGTAAATTGTTTCACCAGCTGTTATTCAGAAAAGTTCGTATATGTCAGTATTTCCAGTAAATTTATATTTAAATTTTGTAATTTCAAGT